GGAGCAATAATAATGGGTGACCAATAAGGTATCATAAATTGGATCTGAGATTATTGCTTAGTGTTGTTTTGCCTTACCTTTGAATGGGGAATACACAGTCTGTGTTTGACACTTTCACAAAAAAGGGATAATTGGTATTATTTTTGTTGATTTAATGAGAATTTACATTTATCCCCTTCAAAGTTATGCAATGCAATGCATTAGCATTAACTTTCCATTAAATATTTTTAAATCTTTTTTTATTTTTCAGAATAAAATTGTACATGTTGACATTTCAGAACTCAGTAGCATAGTTAGAAATAAAAATTATGACCACTTAGAGATCTTGCGTCAGCACAGTTTACAAGGCCAAGAAGCAATCCCAACTCAAAAAGCTGAGGTAGATTCTTTTTTAAACCAGTTTGCTTCTTTTAACCAATCAATCACCATAAAAACACAGTTTAAATTTCCAGATATAAGGATTTGTATTTCTGGTAATTAATAAATAAACAGAATCTGGGTCTCCTTGCAAAGAAGACATCTAAATGGCCAACAGACACATGAAAAAGTGCTCAACATCACTCAGCAGGGGCGCCGGGGTGGCTCAGTCGGTTAAGTGGCTGCCTTCGGCTCAGGTCATGATCCTGGGGTCCTGGGATCGAGCCCCACGTCCGGCTCCCTGCTCAGTGGGGAGCCTGCTTCTCCTTCTCCCTCTGCCTGCCACTCTGCCTACCTGTGCTCTCTCTCTATCTCTCTGTCAAATAAATAAATAAAATCTTTAAAAACAAAATCACTCAGCATCAGGGAAATACAAATCAAAACCACAATGAGATACCACCTCACAGCAGTCAGAATGGCTAAAATTAACCAGTCAGGAGATGACAGATGTTGGAGAGAATGTAGAGAAAGGGGAACCCTCCTACACTGTTGGTGGAAATGCAAGCTGGTGCAGCCACTCTGGAAAACAGTATGGAGGCTCCTCAAGATGTTAAGAATAGAGCTACCCTATGACCCAGCAATTGCACTACTGGGTATTTACCCCAAAGATAAAAATGTAATGATCCGAAGGGGCACCTGCACCCCAATGTTTATAGTAGCAGTGTCCACAATAGCCAAACTATGGAAAGGGTCCAGATGTCCATCAACAGATGAATGGATAAAGAAGATATGGTATATATTTTTACAATGGAATATTACACAGTCATCAAAAATTGAAATCTTGCCATTTACAATGACGTGGATAGAACTAGAGGGTATTATGCTAAGCGAAATAAGTCAGTCAGAGAAAAACAATTATCACATGATCTCACTGATATGTGGAATTTAAGAACCAAGGCAGAGGATCATAGGGGAAGAGAGGAAAAAATGAAACAAGACAAAACCAGAGAGGGAGACAAACCATAAGATCTCTTAATCTTAGGAAACAAACAGGGTTGCTGGAGGGGAGGGGGTAAGGAGATGGGGTAACTGGGTGATGGATATTGGGGAAGGTATGTGTTATAATAAGCCCTGGGTATTATATAAGACTGATGAATCACAGACCTGTACCCCTGAAACAAATAATATATTATATGTTAATTTAAAAAAGGAAGAATCCGGGTCTCTTCCTGTTTAAGACAGGAATTGCCTCCAGTATGTGGCAACAGCCAAATCCAGTCATATTTATTCAGAACGAGCAGGAGTGTGAATTATGATTGTTCTTCCCATATATACCTTTGGGCTGGGATTGTATTCAGTGTCCAAAGAAACACCTGAGGAAACTCACAGCCAATTTAGATGACAAAATTCTTTATTTTTAAAGATTTTATTTATTTGAGGGAGAGAGAGAGAGATAGCAAGAGAGAGAACACGAGCAGGGGGGAGAGGGAGAAGTAGGCTCCCTGCTGAGCAGGGAGCCGGACGTGGAGCTCGATCCCAGGACCCTGGGATCACGACCTGAGCTGAAGGCAGACGCTTAACCGACTAAGCCATCCAGGTGCCCTAGATGACAAAATTCTAAGCAAGATGCTGGATGCTGCTGTATCCCAATTTAGGGACTCTGCTCTATTTGTCAAGACTGAAAGAGTAAAATAGGGTGAAGACCAGCTAGTTGTTCACCAAATTGTATCCCCTTTCTTCCTGGACACACAGTTATATGATATATTTAAGACAGATATATTCAAGCCTTCCTTGCACTTAGATACTGCTTTATGAGACTGTTCTATTCAATAGAATATGGGCAGAAGTGATGCATGACACTTGGTTGTCCTATCTTATAGATCTCTACTATATACAACCATTCACTGTTTTTTTTTCTCCCCATCTATTGGCTAACTGCAGGGGACTCCCAAGAACCCACAAAAGGGAAGAGATGAAAAGCACAAAGATCTAGGTCCCAGAATTGCCACTTGGATGAGAAGTGACCAACAATGAGTTGACTGTTGCCTAAGTATTAAATAAACCACAAATGTGGTAAGCCTCTGAAATTTTAGTGTTATTTGTTGCATCAGTTATTCTACACTGACTAATCCAGCTAGTATGACATGAGGGACCAATGATGATCTTGATCATATTGTCTCCGTTAAGATTCCTGAACAATAAACCAGTAAGTAATTATCATTATCAACAAATCACAAAAATCAAAGTGAATATCTACATAAGCACTATAAGGAGAGCTTACTTTTACTAATCACTCCTCATATGCCAAGCAAAATATAGTTTTGCTATGCCTATTTACAGATCAGAAAAATGAAAACCCAGATGATTAAATAACTGGGTCAAGATAGTCAATGAATAATAAAGCTAGGACTCAAATCTCACTTTGACCACAAATCCTGCACTGCAAAGCACTAAGCTCTCAGTTCTCACACTCTTCCTGTCTCTTCTGACAATCTTAGAATCAGATTGACCTATCTATTTTATCACATTAAAGTATGCCTATTGCTTGATAGGACTCATTACACTTGATAGTTCTGAATTCTGAACCTGGTGAAAATTACAGCTTTGAAATTGAAATCTGTAATCAAAGATCTTGCTTACAAGCAACATAACCCACTTAAGCTAGTTTAAATAGAAAATGAGTTTATTAAAAGCCGTTAAGAAACTAATGGAAACTTCAGAGGCTGGAAGTCTTACATCCAAGAAAAATCCCCACATTGCACACTAAGCCTTGCCAAGAGAGGCCCTTCTAGGCACAGACATGGCTGATAACACCGTGGACACTTCGTTTGTGTGTATCATCACTATCCCTGGGATACTTGCCATTACCGCCTTGGGAATGCCTGATAGCTCTCCTCCGTGGTCTGCTATTCTCATGAGAATACAGATTCGATGCAGCAAGTACACCTGGTTTTTCATGATATCCCTTCCGAATAAAACCAGTCCAGGAGAGTGGTTCTGTTTGGTAAAGCCTACGCCCATAGAGGCTGGAAAACAGTTTTGGTTTTTCAATTTGGGAAACAGCCCAAACAGAAGTCTATTCATAAGCTGCTCAGTGGCTACAGAGGTGACATGTGTCCACTAAAATGGTAACCCCAAATCACATGGAGCCAAGATTACAGGGGAACAGAAACGATGTCCTTTTAGAGGAAGCTGCTTCACAGAAAGAACAGAACAGAGGTCCAGAAAAAACAAAAAACAAAAAACACAGCCCGAGGAAAGACAGAGGTGCTGTATGATGAGTTCTAAGTTTTGGTGAAGTCTGGCTCTCCTTTGTCAGATGGGTTTCCATGCATTTTCACAAGAAAAAGATCTCTGCAGTACTTAAACAGCAAGTAGTGAACACCTTCAAAATGATGACATGAATAAATAAGTCTGATAATAAGACTCTCAGAGAACAGAGGGAGAACTGTTTTTTGTATGTATGTATGTATGTATGTATGTATGTATTTATTTATTTATTTATTTATTTATTTGAAAGAGGGAGAGAGAGAGAAGGAGAGCGAGCAGGGGCAGGGGCAGAGGGAGAGGAAGAGGGAAAATCTCAAGCAGACTCTGCACTGAGCAGAATCCAACGCAGAGTTTGATCTCACAACCCTGAGATCATGACCTGAGCTGAAATCAAGAGTTGGATGCTCAATCAACTGAGCCACCCAGGTGCCCCGAAAATTCTGTTTCTGTTGGATTTAGGAAGTGCTCTTAGATGGTATATAAGACCAGGGGGTTCTGACAGCCTACACACTTGCTTTGAATCCTGGCTCCACTGGTTTCTTATTGCCTCACTATGTTGTAAATTCCATGAAATTATGAGTCATTCGCATTTGCATCTGTGCCAGTTACAGGCCCTGCCTTGTCACAGAACTGAGCAATTAATATTTGTTGAATAAATTCTTTCAACTGGTAATAGCAAAAAAAAAAAATGGATTTTATTTATTTAGATTAAATACAATGTACAAGTGACTCCTTAGCAAGTGGGAAGATAAATGCATTGACAATATGGGTTTCCAAAAACCCAAGCTCGAATATATCATTTCTAGAAGGGTTGCTTTAGAGAATCAATTTTGTATCATTTTTAATTGCCACACATGCACAAATTGGCCTCAAAACACCGTATAATGATCATGGTGGTTATATATCACATTGACTGTGACATTGCCTCTCCCAAGTCCAGAGCTAGTTAACATATAATAGAGTATTCACTACCACTCTTCCTTTCCAATGTTTGTGTCCAAACATTGTTTCTTAAGTACTCATATTGATCATATTGATTAATACTCCTGGTAGAAATGATGAAAAATTATCGATTTGCTCTTGTAAACCTCATCTCTAACTACAATATCTGGAGTGTTGCTTCCTTGAACTCCATGAGAGCTCTCTCCTCAGACCTCTTCCATTCTTACTGATTACATCTGCAGATGGAAATCAGGTGTGAAAATCCGTTAAGACACCTCACAACAGGACAGACTTTGACTCTTATTGAACTCTCATGTTCTCTCTTCCTTAATTAAGGCACAAGAACATTTTACCATGGAGAGAGAATGACTTAGATTATGGATCTTATTCCTCCTAATGGCATGCATTTCACCCAATTGGGGGATAATACATTTCTTACTTCGTTGCTTTGCAAAGAGCCACTTACCCAGTTCTTCCAAGGGAAGAATGAAGAGCGTGATTTTACTTATAAAGAGCGCTCCGTTATCCAGGCTACAAAAGAGAAATGAAGTATACAGCTGTTCCCCCAAATTATGACATGTTTTTTCACTAAACATTTTAAAACCCAAATAAAGAATAGCATTTAAATGAGTTAGCAACATAGAATCTTATTTTAGAGCTAGAAAAACCCTTAACGTTTGCAGCACAAAAAAGCAAGAGTGCAGGCTTTGGAGTCAGATGGCCGGGATGCAAAGGCTGGCTGTGTGACCTGAGGTAATTTAGAAGACCTCCTGCGTCTCTGTATTTCCTCAGGTATCATGATAATGATAATGATAACTCTTTATAAAAGTAAATCATAAAATACACTCAAAATAAACTTAAAATACATGAAAATAATAAAATATCACAACTATAATAATACCTACCTCATAGGCCTTGTGAGGATTTACTGAGATAATGCATTACAACACCTATTAGCACTCAATACATGTTCCTGATGTATACATTATTTTACAATACATACTCTGTGCATTTCCATCCCATAATATGAATAGCATGCGAAAAGAAAACCAAAAGTACTTCTCATAACCTTTCCTGATCGTTTGTAATTAGATGAATAAGCCTCAAAATCTGTATTTTCTAAAACCTTCACTGAGATTGTGAGGTAAAAGAAAAAAAAAAATCACTTATCTCTATGGAGAAAAAGAAATGCCAAAACACAGAGTTGCTCCAGACGGATGGTCGTTTAGTACAAACATGCAGACAGGACAGTCTCTTGGTCTCTGGAGTTTGCCAGCTTCTTTCCACTAAAATATTCACAATAGCAGGACCATTAGGTGAGGATTCAGCCTACAATAGTTTATTTAGCTTTTGTTGATTCTGAAATGTAAATGATTAGTAAGAATGAGGACAACAAGGCATTATCACTAACATCCAGGATAAAGGCTGGATCTACCAACTCTACAGAAATAGACACTTTATAAGCAAAAAAGAAGGGCATTAGGAATTGGAAAGCCCAGCAGATGCAAATTAGATTGCATTTTTCAAAATAGGACTGCTATCATTTTCAATGAATTTCCAGGGTATCAGGCAAGAAGGAAGGAATAGTAGAGCATTTTCTGCTCCTTTCGAATTCTGCCTTCTGCTTGTTTTTATATTTAGATTTTTTTAATGCATTAAAAATGGTAACAGCAATCAATTATTGGGTCCTTACCCTGTGCCAGCCATTCTGCTAAGTACTGTATGTGCATTATCTCATTTAATCCCCACAACTAGTCTACGAGAAAGCCAATTCATTTTTCTAATATCACAAATGAGGAATCTGAGCACAGAAAGGTCCTTGTCCAGGGCTGGTAAATCGTTCATCAGTACTGCAAGTGGATCCAAAGCTGGGGTGTTAACCACTATGCAAACTACCTCTCAATAAGAACACACTAACTGAGCAACCCCAAGACTACCAACTACCTTCCCTATCCTGAAATTCTGAGTCTAGCGCACGCACAGGGGCTGGACGAGTGGATGGGTGGATGGACCGACTCCATTCTTTTGCATACATTCCTTCCCATTGCCAGATGTGCACCCGAGGCTATACTTCTTAGAGGCTAGCTTTCTCACTTGAAGCTGGAGGAGAGCAGCTTGCCAGTGAGGGGTTTGCCTTAGAGCTCCTGATGCTAAGTCCTGGAAATCATGGCTGGCCAGCAATATCTCTTGGAGAAAGTCACCCCTTGAAAACTGTGCCTTCATCAAAGCCAGGTACAGTTAAAGAAGCCACTGTAGATGTTAGTGATTTAATCCATTCGGGAGGCATTCAACTGAAGATAGGTAGTATGCCACGTAGGTAAGCTTCAACATCAGTTCTGAGACATTACCAGACTTTTCTGCTCATTAGCTTTATAATGAAGAAAAAGTAATTTAACTTGTTTGAATCTCATTTGTAATATGAGGATGGTATAATATTTCATTTACTCCAAAACGCACCTTCTTTGACATTTTCCATATCTGAAATTTGAGGTCTTTTACAATGGACGGCATCTCCCATTCTCTGCTGGGCAAGGGGCAGTGGTGACATATTTGTTATCACCTGCATGCGTGCAAACAAAATTCACAGGATGGGTGGCAATGGAGACAACAGAGCATTTGCTACATGGACCTCAACGTATACCAGGAGTACAAGACCAGTGTGCTGATAACGTGGTTAGAGACACAAAGCAGAAACACATAAAATCTTCACTATGAGCTCATTTGCAATTCATAATACAGTCTCCTCTGCTTCCAAAAATTAGTTGGGCCAAAGAGAGGTGAAGTATCTTGTCCAAGTTCATACATTAGAACAGACTTGGGAAAGTCAGACTAACTTGGGTGAGACAGACTTGGGAAATAAATCTATTCCTATCCTGTGCTGTTCTTAGCCACTCTCTTGACTTTCCGAACTGCCCACGAGAGTGAAAAAAGCAGCATGGGTCTAAGTGTGAGGAGTTTGTGAAGGAAGTGATCTTGTTCGTGCTACAGAAGAGAATGAAGTGGGGTCAGGGGGCCAACAGGGACTTTTTCCACTAGATGGAAATATCAAGAGCACTCCAGTGGTAAAGAGGTTGCAGACAAAGGCACAGAGGCTAGAGGAAGAAAGCTAATTTATCCATAAATAAATAAGCCCTAGTGGCAAGGAGATTTGCTGAGGACAGTTGTGGGATCTAGAAGTGGAAGGAATGAGGGTGACTAATTACAAAGAGCCTGGAATCCAGACCATGATGAGCAGCCTTTATTCTGGAGACAACTGAGCTGCCAAGGAAGGTCCCTCTCTGAATTCATCAAAACTTAAACGTTGAATTTGGGGAAGACCATCAGTTAGACTGTTGTGGTAGGTGTGACTTTGGAGATGATAAGGAGCTGACCTTTGTAAATGAAATACAAGGGAATAGACTGCCAAGATTTATTTCCTTGTGAAGTCCTGTTTATGATAAATGTGATAGATGATAGGGGAAAATATATTATAGAAGCTCTTATGAATAGATGTCTTTGTGAAAGTGTTCACATAAGTTTGGGGAATGTCAGAGTATACGAAACTACCTTATTATTCCAATGGGAGACTTCGCAGATCCTTTAAGGGATACAAATTATAACATTGCCCATGTGTGGATCACTGAATGCTTTTTATATCTTTCCCCGGGGGGTGCCTGCTAATGGCTCCTGGAAGCAGAGTTCCAGTGAACATAGTTTGAGAAATGCTGAGTTACTCATTGACCAAGCTACAGCTCTCTTATTAGTGGTTTCTTTCCAGCCTGGGATTATCAACCTAAGACCTTTTACAAGCATATTTTGTATTTTGACCCAGAACCACAGGTGACCAAGTTATTGAAATTAACTTAGATGACAACATTGTAAGAACAGTTCATGAAGGTACATGAATATTCTATATAGTATATGCAAGGTGTGTGTGTGTTACGTGTATTACACAAATGTATGTGTATGTGTACTCCTTATATTCAGTTCAATTCCACAGTGATACCTGGTGCCTACTTTATGGAGAACATGTTAAATGGTTGTAATAGTAGAAAGAAGAACCTTGCTAACATCTTTCAAAGTCTTTGCTAACAGAGCAAAAAGAATGTATTACTTGCCATCAAAATGGGCAGTTTGCACTTACCTTAATTTTACTGTCTGTGACTTTGTCAGCAAAATGCACAATTGTAATAAGTGGAATTGTAAAAGGCTGCTGTTGGTTTTTTTGCAGACTCTCTATCCTTCATCACATGCTCAGAAGATAGGTTTTAAATAGCAGTATCCACCATCTAAAACAAGTTTGCAACAAGTTTAATTGGGAATACAAAAATCTTTCTCTTTGCCAAAGACAATATTGACTTCATTTTCAAGTAAGCAAGGAATCAATGATTTATTTACTTTTTGCACACACAAGAAGTTGAGCCATCACCAGTCTCCTAAGAAGTGCTATTATTATGAAGCTCTCCCTCCCTTTGGAGGGTGGGGTGGCGGGGAGCGGGGGGGAGGGCAACACAGCTTTCTTATGTTTCAGCGAAATTCCGGAGTAGGTTTCTGCCCAGGCATGCCATGTTGGTTTTGGCATCTGTGCTTATACTCATGGAGTCGCCTCTGCTAGGAATGTTCTCTTGGTCTGTCTTAGTCCGTTGGGGCAGCTACAACAAAATGCCACAGGCTTGGTGGCTTATAAACAGCAGAAATTTATGCTCACAGTTCTAGAGGCTGGAAGTCCAAGATCAGAGCATCATCATGATCAGATGAGAGCCCTCTTCTGGGTCGCAGACTGTATCCTCACCCTGTGGAAGAGCTGGGGATGTCTGTGGAGTCGCTTTTATAAGAACATTGATCCCATCATGATGGTTCCATCCTTGTGACCTAATCACTTCCCAGGGCCCCCACTTCTAATACCATCCGCTTGGAGGTTAGTTTTCAACATATTGATTTGAGGGGAACACATTCAGACCATAGCATCTTCACACCTTCTTTTCTGTGGCATCTCCTTGCCCTCATTCCTGTGTTGCTCCTTCTGAGAGCATTCCCTGAAACCAAGGCAGACTTTCCCCAAATTGAGTTATTAACTGAACTGATTTGGAAACTATGGGGCCTCTGCCCCCATCCTGTGGTGACCACGTTCTTGCCCCAGCCCTTCGGTTGCATACGTCTACTTCTTCAATAAGCACAGGATCACCATGACTCCACTGTCACCATCAGTGGTCCCTAAATGTGGCTGCAGATCTTGCTTACAAGAAAACAAAAATGTCTCATGTTTCCTGTAAGGCCCTGCAGATCCTGCCTCCTGCTTAACTTGACCTCAGCCCTACTGCCCCCTTCCACGTCCTGCCATTCACAGTTCCTCAAGCCCTCCAGCTCACTCCCATTTCCAAGCCCCCACACCTATTCCCTCTGCGAGCCTGGCATGCTCCCCACTCAGAGGTTCATGTGGCTCACTCCACATCCAAGTTTCTTCTTCAAGGTCACTTCCTTGGAGGGGCCTTCCTGCAGTGGCCATCCTAACGAATACAGGGCCACTGTATTCCATCACTGCTTATGGCCCTATCCTGCTTGATATTTCTTTCTAGCACTTGTCAGTAGCTAAATATTTATCTAATTACTTGTTTATCTTTCTCTCCTACCAGAATATAAGCCCCAGGAGGACAGATATGTATCTTATTTACAAATGTCTCCCTAGAGAATCTGACTCTGGAGGTCAGCAGGGAGACCCAGAAATCAATTTTTAGACAGCCCAGGTCATTTCAAAGCAACTAAGGAGAACAACATTTGGAAGGCATTCATTGACATCAGACTTTCCCAAGGTGGTGGTGGTCATTGGTGGTTTATTTTGTTGTTGTTCATTTATTTTGTTTTTTTTTTTTTAAAGAGAAACCTCTTTCTTTCCCAAGCTCAGAAAGCCCATGACTCAATGTTGTGGTGATCTGCCAGGAATCATTTAAATAGTAATAATGAGAGCTAAAGAGGGTAATGGAAAGTAAGAACTCCCTAGAGAAATGGGATAATCTCTCAGTAATTGAGACATGATTGTATATTGAAGAAAGTATATGCTAACCAGTTTGCTGAGCCCCAGCGTGTGAAGTATGATCATGATCACATTTTGCCCATTTTCCTTCTCAGCTCCTGTCACAGAATATTTATGTGGCACATTCCCTAGTCTTTTCCCCACCCTCCATGTCTACAGTATCGTCACCACTTCCTCTTAAGTGGCTTGGTGGATCATGTTGACACATTCAAAGGAAGTAGGATGTAACCTTTGATTGTAATACCCACTGCTTAAGTTAGTTTTTTCTGGGCCAGAAGTAGCTCTGGCTGAGAGGATCTGCCGGATCTTGGAGATCCCTGCCCTGTTGGAGCGACTCAAGGGCAGCAAGTCCCTGTCAGTCTCGCTGGCACCTGGGGGCCATATTGCCTAGGCTTTGGTTCTGAGAGAACAAGGGTGAGCTGGCCTTTTCAAAGCTTCACAGAGGAGCCTTCCTGGTATTGTAAGGAAGGCAGGCGGGAATGGTCTGAAGAAGAAAGTACTAAGGTAAAAGAAGGGAAATGGTTCCAAATATAAAAAAGTCTGTTGTGTACAGACCTAGGAGAGGAGACAGAAGACCCAAAGAGAGGAAAGAAACCCAAGGCAAACGGGGCAGAGGTGGGAATCCAGATCCTAGAGGCGCCCTAAGTGGTCAGACTAGAGCCTGTGAGGTCCCGGCTACACCGGTTTTCACTGTGGGCTGATCACTGTCTGAAATCCCAAAGTATTTTCCAATACCTTGCTAGTGGTGTCCTACAGGAATAAGAGAGAACTGTAACAGTTGTGTGTTTGTCGCCGATAACCACAGTCATCCCGTGACACAGTGAACTGAGCGGTTCCCTCACCCCTTTGGCATTTGTGTCCTCTGACGTTTGTAAGCGGTGGTCACACTGCCTTGTATCCCCGTCCGATCAGCTGCACATGGTTTGATCTTCCCTCTTTACTCCCTCAAGCAGTTAAATCATTTCCCTGGTGCTCTGTTCCTCCAGCCAATTTGTCCATTTCTGGGAAAACCAGCACCATATCATTCTAGCTGCAGACTCACAGTTATATTCACAATTAATATTTATGGAGTGCTAACTGGGTGCTTGGCCCTGCATGAGGCCCTGGAAAGGGCTCCAGTTGCCACTGATTTATGTAGGGACCGCCATGGCGTCCGGGCAGCTGTGTGCTCCCCACTGTCTCAGATTCCCACTGGGTCATTTATCTCTTTCTTGACAGTGCAGTACAGAACTCCAACAACAGAACACTGGCATTAAGAACTAAGAGCAGATATTCTTTCTCTTACCTGTCAGAAGCTTTCCCCCCATTCAAATGTGATTTTTAGTATAGTAAAAAAGACAATTTTATTGTCTCGATCTTAAGTTCTCGCGATGCCCCACATATAACGTTGAGGAGTTTTCAACAAATGTTACCTGCACTTGAAAATTCCAAAAGTGAAGAAGTAATGAACTTGGCCCTACATCCCTGCTTATATGGATGGGGAGGTGAGATGGGGAAAAAACAAACAAAAAAACCACTGTCTGTATTTGTCTGACTCAGTTTCCCCAGTATGACTGAGAACAGACTGACCAGGGACAGATTTGAGCAAACACAACTTTATTTATTCACCTTGGAGTAAGGGTATATATACCCATACAGAATAGTGCCCCTTTGCTCTTTCCCTCCCCACCCACTGCAGAGAAATAGCTGTATGTTCTTTCATGGCAGACACATTCTTTTATAATATCAAATACATCATTAAACACTTCTAGAAAAAATGGGGCCCACCACCTAAAAGTCTCTAGATTTGCTCATATTTTTCATATAAACTACAAAGCATTTCCCATTTGCCCAACATATCCATTCGCATGAAAATGTCACAGAGGTGTTTTCAAGAACTACTTAGAAGGGAACTATTTCAGTGGGTCCCATTTCTGTTCTTGTCTGCTAGTTTCTGGCCTGTTCCACTTGGAAGAGAAAAAAAAAAAGATACATGAACATGGATAGGGAAGGGATAAAAAGGATATGGAATTTAGGTCAGGCGGGTTTGTCTTTTGTGAAAATAAATCATTGAGTATCCAACCCTATTGCAGATGAGTGGGTTTAGAGGTGCCCGTTATTAAAATATTTTTTTCCCTGTTTCTGGAGTATGGTATGTGAGAAAAGCCACATTTCCCCGGAAGACCG